GAGAGCAATACAATAAACAACATCACAATGATATATGGGAACATAACAGTAGATACTCAATATTAAACATTATTGTGCAGCACTAATATCGTTAGTGACGTTTGTACTAACTTGGTTTTAAAGCCTTTACTTTGAAATATACGCCGTTCATTAGCTGACCTTAATTTTACAGAGAATGATCAAAGCTCATGTAGAAACAAACAAAAAAATGAACAAAAGATTTTCTCCTTCATTTCTGTCAAACAAAGCTGTATGAAACGTTTCCAGCTGTTTGTATCATGGTTGCTAGGCAACCTGGGCAGCGCGACGGAGGCCAGACCGTCCTCTTTCACAAGCCTCGCACTTAGCAGTCTTTGAGTACGCGGCCCTTGTGGCTGCCTACTTTAAGGCTGCAGACCCTGAATTGGGATACAGCCGTTGAGGAGGCCATTTAGCCATTTAAATCAGCTGTGTTGGATCAAGGACACACACCTGTGCTCTAAGGGTTAATCAAACATTTCACGGCTGTTTTTGTTCAGGTTCAGTGTGAGCTGCACCAAGCGTATCGCGGTGCTGCATGCAGGTCGCATGGCTCACAGGCCCGTGGGAAGGAGAGGACGACCCCCCAGCCGAGTCAACGGAGCATCCAGAGAGCACTTCGTGATGCAGGTCAGTAGTATCGTCGGCCTGATGCATGCATGTATAAACTGTATGGACAAAACAGATACTGGGTTACCTGCAGGAGCTGCTCAGCCACTGAAATGGATGGCATGAAGCTCCCTGTGAACGGTTTTTATCCTGATGTTAATCAGAGGAGGTTTGGAGCTCTGCAGTCACTAAAACTCCACGTTAATGTTCTAGGGTAAAACGACATATCCAGCTTTCTGCAGCTTTCCTCATGGGCGTAACTTTGTGCTGAACATTGGGGGGGTCAGGATCTCTGTCTAAATAAATAAATAAATCTGGGTAAATTCCCAGATGATTAAACATGCAACTATTTTGCTGGTGTTAACAGAAATGAGTAACGAAAATCAACAGCCTATTTATGCAAGATAATTCATAATTTTATTGGGGGGGTTATATTGGCTAGGTCTGATTATGGGGGGGGTGGTCATAACCCCTGGCTATTACGCCCCTGGCTTTCCTGAAACACTCATCAGTTAAGTGTTTGTGTGCAAGTTTGGCAAACAGTAAATGACTAAATGACAAACAAAGGCAAGCCTGTTTGTTTAAAGAAGAACAGCTTTGGAGATTTTACTAATAGCACTTATCTACCAGAGGGACTTTATTGGTAGCTGTGTTGGGTTTGCCTCTTTGCTGTGAGGTGACAGTTAGTAAAAACGACATCGTATGCATCTTGTCAACTTATTCTCACAATCCAAAAAGAAAAACGCATGTCATCTTGGTCATCTCTTTTGCAACTTCTTTTCAACACAAACACACTGCAGACACAAAACAATCCGCAGCTTCACATTCGTAAGCAAACCAGCATGTTGGACAAATATATCGGGGGTGATCGGGTCAGCTGGCAGATGGGGATCTCTAATGAAAACAGCCGAATGGGCTTTGCAGGTGGCCAGATTCTTAGATGTCTATCAGCTCTGGAAACAAACATTAAAATGACTCATGCAAAAATATATGTTAAGGCTGCAGAGCTTTCAAGCATGTTGCCCTGTTATATGCTGTTTTAAATCACTCTTCATTCAAAAATATGAAGAACAGACTTACAGGCTGATGATTATTACAGTTAGGTATAACAAAAATGGATTTTTGAAGGCTGATAGACTCCAGAGGTGGTAATGCATGCATTTTTTTTCTGGTGGAAACGGGTTGGAAATATTTCTAAAAAGACATTTAAATGTTTATTTGATGCTTAAAACATTCCACCGAGCTTGAACCATGAGGTTTGCAGCTCACGGTCTAAGACACAGTCTAACACCTGCTTTCTGTTTGTTACTGTATGAAGTCCAGCTCTGAAATACACTGAATTTTTGTGTCTTTGTGCTTCTCAGGTTCACAGGTCATTTGGCTCCAAAGAGACCCAACAGAGTTCACCGAGAGAGGAAGATGAGCATCACGAGGAGGAGGAGGAGGAAGAAGAGGAGGAAGAACCTCCCGTTCCCATGACGACCAGGCTTCGAAAACAGGCTGAGAGAGCGCAAGAGAGGGTGAGGGAGCAGAGGACAGTAGAAACGATCATTGTTTCAGACACAGAAGACGTCGGCTGTCCGTCTCAGTGGAACGTGGAGCAAGTGTTTTCCTACATCAGCACCCTGCCAGGTAATGCGGTTTTTCACACTCCTGAGGTACAGCTTTTGACAGGTTAAATATGATTTGCAGGCATGAAAATTTCATGTGAACATGTGCTGGTTGATTAAGGGTGACTGCACATAGTGTACACCCACCAGCCACTTCATTAGGTACACCTGTTCAGTTGCTCGTTAGCACAAATATCTTCAGCGACCTGCTTGAATTCAAGCTGAGCATCAGATTGAGCAAAAAATGTGATTTACTTTAAATTTGGCACTGTTGGCACATTGAAACTGAAGGAGATGGGCTTCAGCAGCAGAATACCACACTGGGTGCTACATCTATCAGCTAAGAACTGGAAAACGAGGCTATAGGTCACACAGAATGACCAATATTAGACAATAAGACAAAATTTCCTGAGTCTCGCTTTAGATGGTGGGGAATTTGGAATAAAGTATGGATTGACCCTGGCTTATCTCACCAATTCAGGCTGCTGTTATTGTTGTTGCTGACCATGTCCATCCCTTTATGTGCAGCAACTGTGTGATGCTATCATGAATATGGACCAAATCCCTGAGAAAATTTTCCAGCACTTTGTTGAATTAGTTGAGGCAACCTTAAGGCAGTTCAGGAGACAAAAACTGGGTTCAAACATTTACCAGCAAGGTATATCTAATAAAGTGGCCAGTGACTGTATGTTATGCATATCAAATTGATGCTGACAGGTGTTAAGCACAAAATGATCTTGTTTAAATCCAACCCAATGCTTTATTTACACATAAAAATGAACACGGTCCACACAGCATGGTGGCAGAAACCTCTCACTCCGGTTCTCTTTCCATCAGGTGGTGCTGATGTAGCCGAGGAGTTTCGCTTCCAGGAAATAGATGGGCAGGCTCTGCTGCTTCTCACAGAGGATCACCTGGTCAGCACCATGAACCTTAAACTGGGACCCGCACTGAAGCTTTGCGCGCACATCAACTCCCTCAAAGATGCATAAACGCGTAACATTCCTCCTCTTAGTGAATGTAAAGAAAAGCAAGGATCTCCTCACCTCTGCAGAGACAATGAGGAAGTGCTGCTCATCTTTAAACTGCCTATTTTTAAACACTGTCACAAAAGAGAGCAGAGCTCGCTGAGTTGAACTGACTACAGTTTATTTTGTTTTGTGTTTTTTTTAAGACCACTGCCAACTATTTTTCCGGGTTTTAGCTTTCCATTACCCAAGGACTCAAAGTCGACTCGCTCTCAGATGATTTTACAGTTTTACCTCAGCTGCTCTGGCTCGTTTCTCCTGATAGTTTCACGTTTACAAGTCTCAGCAGTGCATATTTAAGTTTCCTATAATCACTCAAAACCAGTTAAACTGCAAAAGGCTATATTTGCCATCTTTTGTATATTGAAGGATTAAAATGCAAAATTTTAATACATTTAAATACTTAAACGAAAAAAAGGTACCATATAAAAATCCAACTCTTTGCAGCAAACCAGGCAACATAAGAAACACACAGGGGAAGGACTTTTTATACACACAGGGTAATCAGGGAAGTGGGGACAGCTGGGGATATGATACACAGGTGCAGAGAAGTTAGGTAATCACTGGGGAGGAGGTAAAACTCAAAGCAACACACAGGAGACCGAAAAACAATTTTATTTTATTTTATTTTTTGCTGTCAATAAGTCAAAATTTGGGATATTATCTTATTGAAAATTATTTTCTCAGAAGTTTGAGTTGATAGGTTTAAATTCTGACCTACAGGTGATTTAAAAAAAAAAAGTTTTGGTTTTGGGTTTTTTTTTTCTCTTTATTTTTCACCCCAACTTAGCACAGACACCAGAAAACTAATTTGTTACACAAAAGGAACACGAGTTTAGAATAATGAAGAGAAAATAACACAGGGACACACACAACCTGAAAGTTCTCACCTGGGACAGGAATCAAATAGGCACCAAAAGCAGAGATTCAAAAATATAACAAAGGATCAAACTCACAATAGAACATGAAGAAATCCAAACATGAACACTGACGTGCTCTAATGGGCCCTTTCTTCGCTGCCTGGCTCCATGGAGCCCAAGTGACATTTGCCATAGACTAGCAGAATTGGCAGATCCACCTGTGCCCTGTGTTTTTCACAAATGAGAACATGTTCACCCTGAGCACATGTCACAGATCTGAAAACGTCTGGGGAAATCGTAGAGAGCCTGTAAAATCGTTCAGCATGTGTGGTTTGGTGGTGGGTCAGTGATGGTTGGGGAGATATATCCAGTTTTTGGCCACAAATTTTAATTAAACATCAAATTCATTAAACATTTGCATCAAATGCTTTGATTTGCAATGTCAAAAGTGAAAAGCTCCCCTGCATCTTTCTGTAACCTGTTGACTTTCACGTGCTCCGATATCTTCCTCTGCACTGACATGGTGCTCATTTTCTGTACATATCTTCCAATATGTTTAGTACTACCGTTACACCTGTGAGCTCAGTGAGATTTTGACATTAGACAGAATAAAACAAACTCCAAGACCAATAAATTGTAGTAAAAATGCCAGAGATTGTGAACTGTGGGACATAAAAAGACGTCTCAAAGTAAATTAATATAAAAAAGCCTTCCCATAAAAATGGGTTTAAAGGAAGTGGCTGACTCTACTGCCATGATTTCCTCAGGCAAGGTTAGCGCCTTTGCCCAAGGACCTCGGGTGCATATGGTGCTCAGAGGATAGAGATATAGCCTGGAGCAAGGCCATGAAGGGCCCTAAAAGTCATCCATAAAATCTGCTCTAAAACAAACTATGAGCTGGTGTAGAACAGCAAAAAACAGCTAAAACTGGAGTTTCATTTAGTTCTGATAAACAGGAGTGATTTCCCTAAATGTCCTAAAATGGTTAAAGATGTTAACAGACGCTGAGACGGTCAGATTTCATTTATTTTTGAGATGAGAAGTGAGCCAAAGCAACAAAGATGAGCAGTTCTTTCTCTCACCGCTTGTCATTTCGCTGTAGTGATCGTAGCAGTTCTGACTCGAGTTATCCATTTGTTTCAAAATGGTTTTTACATGGGTTTTTTTGTACCATTTGTAGACAAAGAGAACAAATGATCATCATTACATCCGACAAACGCGGTACAATCTCACTGTTTACAAAGCAGATTATTGCCTCCTGTCTTCAAGATGGAATTTGATACGTTCACCATCAGCAAACGGTTGTGCTGACTTATGAAAGTTTTACTGACTACAAGGTTATTTATTGTTATTTATTGTTGTCATAATTAATATACAAATAAAACAGTTAGAAAACAGTGTTGTTTTTTTTTCTTTGTGTAATTTTTTTTACTGAGATTTAGGGTCTATTTCTTTATCTAAAATTCATTCTTTGTCTTTTTCACTTTTTTGCTTAAACTGGTGTTGTCAGCGTTAATCTCGTTAAAATGACGTTAACGGCATAACTGCGAGGGGCTGCCCCACACACGGAGCGATCAGCGCTTACTCGCTAACTGAGATTTGCTGCGTTAATGCAACGTTTTTTGAAGCGATAGTGTTTATTGAACCTCACGACAAATAAATAGACACTTTGTGAACAAAATAAATAATTAGACAACTGACAGACAAGTGCTTTGTTTAATGGCCAGGTGAGAGCTGCTCTCTGATTATTTCATGACAAATTAAGCACATAAGAGATCTGGAGTCACCCAAACTCTCAATGTGAGAGCCAAAGAAATGTTTATGTCATGATTGGGCTAAAATAAACCTATCAGAGTGAGACAGCAAAACCTTAAAGTGGCCACAACAACCATCTGGTTCATTTTTTAAAAGGAAGGAATGCAAAGACCAGAAAGACCACAGGAGACGGCTAAAGTGGATGATGACAGAATTGTTTCACTGTTAACAAAAGCAGCCTTCCAACACCTAACAAAGTCAAGAACTTTCTTTAGGAGGTATTAGTATCACCGTTAAGGTCTACAATCAAAAAATGACTTCACAGATGTAAATACAGAGTGCTTACAACAACGTGCAAGCCATCGGTTACAATTGGAGAACAGGAAATTTGATTTAAGGTCAAATTTATTTATGTAGCACATTTCCAGACAGATGATGCTGCACAAAGTGCTTAACAATATAAAAATGCCATTAAAAAGAAACAATGTAAAACAATAATAACAATATAAAGCAATGATAGGACAATCAAATAATTAAAACAATAACTAAGACTATTAAATAAGACCAAAATGCTTGGGTCATAGTGTGTTAAAATGGATCAAGTGTTTGTGCAGATCTATTTTATATTAATATAATATTTAGGGGAAGACTATTCCAAAGTCTGGGACCTGCCACAGAGAAGGCTCTATCACCACGAGATTTGAGATCAGTCCATGGGATGGATAGCATTAAGTTTGAGCCAGACCTCATGGTTTTTCCTGGAGCATAAACAGAGAGGGGCTCAGACAAGTTTCAGACATGGTGGAGGCGGTATTATGGTTTGGGCATGCATGACTGCTGGTGTTTATTGATGATGGGTCGAATGCTGAAGTGTACAGGGCTAAACCTTCCAGTACAGATAGATAACAATCCACAGCAACCTGGTGGGTCACTGATATTCTTCAACAGCCAGTCACATGACTTCAGCCCAACACAGCATGATTTTCAGTTATCAAATGCAAAGCTGAAGGCAGAGACGAAACCTAATTTGTTATAGTCCAGATAATTATGGCCATAATTTAAGTTTCTCAAAAAGAATAAAGACATTTTTTTTATTAAAAAAAAAAAAGTATATTCACTTTAAGCGATTTAACTCACTTCTGTAATGTTGTATGCATCATGGTGTTGTGCTAGCGTGATAAAATGAATAATAATCTACACACAGGTAAGCTTTGGTTGAAGTGTCAGTTTTATTTGCTTGAAACGAGTCTGGACAGATGCTTTACAGCTCTTTCTTACATCAACAGACAGATTAAAATACATTAAAATTCCTCTACACTCATAAGTGCAAATGGATACATTTCTCTACAGAAAAATACTACAGATTATACAACAATGCCTTCTATGCTGTACATGTGGAATGTGTCGGCTGAATGTGGAACTCATCGATGGAGCATTTAAGGTGCGCAGGGATTTAGAGCATACGTATGGAGTTTCCATGCACACTATTTGGTTTACAAGGCTGCTTGTGCAAAAGTCACTGCGTTTTAAGACACTGAGCAGATGATGTTCACTGGGTGACGGATGAGTGCTCACAGAGGCAATAAGGTCAATCAGATTACAGGCACTGCAAAGACGAGTATATACATTCCCAGATCTGGTTTTCCCACTGCTCCATTTCATCCGAGAAACAAGAACAACTTACAAATTGTTTCCTGGGACACTTACTGGGGAAAAAGCATGTAATTTGATACCAATTACAGGTAAAACAGAGACTCTCTTCCAGACTATTTTGACTTTAAGCAAAACAAAGGAAAAGATAAGAAATAACGTTTGCAACATTTCCACAAAGTCTCTGATTGAAATAAAACTGGTTAAAAATAATTATTGCTCTACTTTGCTGGTGATTTCTTTTGCATTAAAATGTCTTTGAGGTGCACAAAAAAAACCCTTTGTTAATGTAACTTATGAAAAACTAACCCTAAAGTCTAAAAACTGCCTCTGTTTGATCTGTAATCAGTTTATTTTTCTCAGAAATGTTCAATAAACTTCTAAAATAAAAAATAATCAGACATTAAAATAAAGCCCTAAAACTTTCTTTATTTTGTGCTGAGGGTTTGCATAATTTATAGTTACACTTCCCAAATATGAATTTTAAAGTCATTTGAAATGTAAAAAGGCAAAAAATAAATACCACCTAATGCCTCACAAACCTGAAACTATACACCGAATATTGTGAAGCTTTCTCATGTGACCTGAGGCTGGAACAGATGATTGGAGAGTGAAGGCTTTTAAAGCAACAGGAAGTTAAGACCAGTTTTTAAAATAATAACCAGGTATAATAATAACCAAGTAAACAAATGAATTCATTTCTATGTGTAAAAAACAAAAACAACCCCAAAACAAGCAAACAGCTGAATTACAGTACATGAAATGAGTAAAAATATAAATAAATTCATTGACACAGGAATGATTTTTCAAAGAGGAATGGCTTCCACATGTTGCCTCTCTGCTTCTTGTTCTCTCAAACGTGACATAAAAGTAGGATTTTTATTTATTTATTTTTTCCCTTTCTAATGGGCGACAGCGGCGGCGTAGCTTATGATGACGACTGACCCTCTCAAACTCCGCTGTGTGGTGGACGAGCAGAGACGACAGGCAAGACGAAAGCTTGATGATGAAACCATCACTGCTGGATGTCAGCGCCGTTCACGGCATGCTGCCAGAGCTGAGGCCGTCCTTCTCTGCCGATATTGACTTCACCAGCTCCTCCACCCAGCGGACCTCGGAGGCCACCTGCTCGGCCAGGACCTCGTAGCGGTTCTCCAGGCGCCCGAACTTGCGCTTGAGGATGTTGGCCGACTGCATAGTGACCCGCGCGTCCTCCTGGCACTTCTTGCGCTGCGTCTGCGTGCGCTGCAGCTCTTGGCGGATGTGGTTCAGGTCGCCAGAGATGCTCTGGTTCTCTTCCTTGTACCACCCCTCCTTCTCCTCATATATCGATAGCAGCGCTGCCACGTCCTCGCGGCAAGAGCGCTGGTTGCGCTCCAACTCCTTCAGGCCTTCCTCAGCCGCCGCAATCTCCTCGAGCACCTGGGAGAAGCGCTCAAAGTTGGCGTAGGTGTTGTTCGGAGGCATGCTGGAGTGGGACTTGATGGTATACTCCTTGAGACGAGTAGTCTTCAGGCGCCGGCGCTCAGTCTTGTGATCTCTGTCCTCCTGGCGTACGTTCCGCCTCTTAATGACCTGAAGAGGTAAAAAGGTACAAACGAGCAAGAATTTGATGACAAGAACCAAAAGATGGGAGTAAAAAGAGTCAAATTTTCAGTTGGCCTCTGATTATCTTCAATTTTTTCCCACTTCACTGAATGTTTAATCTATAAAGATGTAAACAAAGACTTAAACTGCAAACCTTAATCCAGGGGTGCTCAAGACTGTCATCAATTGTCATTCTTTTCCTGCAAAAGAAAATCCATTAGTGTTGGTTAAATGCTGAAGACCAGGGCACTGTGAGTGTCAGCATCTGCATGAAGTATACAAATATTCTACGCAAATTGAACATCCATATAGATATATCTAGATATATCTATCAATATAGAGAGATAGATAGATATTCACCATGCGCGTGTTTGTTGATTTAGTGTGCTGCATTTTTTAGTTTCTGCATGTTCTACAGTCATTACACTACGCATTTAAGAATTTTTTTTATCTTCCCACTGCAGCTGAGCGACCGCTGATTGATTGATCAAGGTAAATAAGCAAAAGTTAAAATTCTGCAAGTCTAGAAAAAAGCTCATCACAGCAGACGACAACAATGTGCCATAGCTATAGCTAATACATTTCTGGAATTGTGACATCAACAAGCATTGGATAACAATCATAAAGATATTCTTACTTAGGATCCTTTACTAGCAAACGGCGTATGAAGTCCTTCGCCAGCTCGCTGGTGTTGCTGAAATACTCCTCATCGAAGTCGTAGTTGACAGCTGAGATGTTGGTCAGCGTCTCTTGTTTGGTCTCGCCCAGAAACGGCGAGGCACCGCTCAACCTGTAACCAGTCAGAAACTTTACTTTAGAGCCCGTTTTGAAGAATCAGGTGGTTTCTGTTTTTTTTTTACAAACTATAAGCTTCACTCACAGAATATACGTGATGACACCAATGCTCCTGCCGAGACGAGAGGATAAATAAAGATCAGTAAAAACTGTTAGATAGGTTAAGCCACAGCTTCAGAAAGTGGGGGGGAAAACAACAAAAAAAAGCAGGTTGGTATCTTACCACATGTCTGCCTCCAGTCCAAGTGGCTCATAGTTGACTATTTCTGGTGCTGTAAAACACAGGAATGAGCCCTTTAATTCAAAGCAGATGTAATCTGAAGCCACGATCACCCTCTCACAGGGTCTGACTCACTGCATGGAAACAATCTGGCACAAGGCTGGAAGTGAATATTTAGGAGGCCACAGGCTCTCACCAACAAACTCTGGTGTTCCAAAGATGTTCTTGAACTCGTTTCCTGCTTTGATCTGATGAGCGATCCCAAAATCTATCAGCTTGATCCTGGGGTTGGGGACATTCTTGTCCAGCAGCATGATATTCTCAGGCTGAAAGATAAAAAAAATAAAAACAAATGGAGAAAAAAACAACAACTATATCACTG